TCAAAGTAACGAAACATTAAAACAATAACTAAATAATAATAACCACACGTCAATATAACTATCAAACTATAATAACATAACAAAATAATAATAATAATAATAATAATAACAACAACAACAACAAGCACCAACGGTTAACAACTTGACAAAACAATAACAATTAAATAATGATAATGCAGTAACATGATCTATGTAAATAGGCAAACAATGTGCAATGAATAAAATTAACCAACCAAACCAAATATAAAAGGGTTCATTAACAAAAAGACAAAACAGTGATATCCATTATTTAAAAAATAAATAAAATAAAGTATATTAAAGCAAATCATAGTATTATAATCATGGCAAAGCAAAACACAATCTGGGAAGACGTGCATGAAGAACAACAATATCAAATAGAGACGAAACAAACAATAACATAAGGCTATACCAAACTATAAACAAAATTCACTGAAAAAAAAAGAAATCAGTCCCAAAACTTGAAAGAATCAACAATAAAAAACATATGAACTTGAGAAAAAAAAATATAAAGATAGAGGTGGCCGGAAGTTGAACCCCTCCGGCCAGATCTGGAAATGAAAAGAAAAACAAAGTGAAAGAGGGGTTATCGGAGTTTGAGTTGTTGCATTTCTGGTTTGAACAACTGTTTGCAATGGGTTTCGATGTGGGTCTGGTTAGTCTGATGGTTCACTGGAATTGGGAGTTCGCCGGTGTTGGAATCACGACGGAGTCGTGCTTGGTTGCTGTTGTTCGAGCTTCGTGCTCCTTGCCGGAAATGGCATTTTTGGTTGTTTAGGAGTGGTGGAGCCGCTGTTTGAGGACTGGTTTGTAGTGGTGCTTTGTCTTTTTACTGTTCGTTGGTCTGGGGGTAGCGAGCAAGAAGGGGAAAATGGGTTGTGATGGGTGGCTGTGAGCTTGTTGTGGGTCTGTTTTGGTGGTGTTCTGGCGGGGGGATCTGGTGGTTTTGAGGAGGAAATAAGGGTCGCTTGGTTGGGGTTTGGGGTCGTTTCTGGTCAGCTGGTTGTTCTCCTGAGTCACTGGTTGCCGAAAAAGAGCTCGTAGCTCACTGAAGTACCTGTAAAACGAAAATAAAAATCGTAAAAGGGTGAGGGGTAGGGAACTGGTGTTGTTCAGCTCTGGTTCATCGGAGCTTTGAGCTCCTTGCCGGAGCTGCTGCCGAAAAATGGGAAAACGAAGGGGGTTTTGGGTCTGGTTTTCTGATGGGTTTTGGTGGCTTTCTGATGGGTCTTGGTAGGAAAAGATAGAGGGAAAAGGGGTCTGGGTGGTTCGGTGGAGTTTTGGCCGTAAAAAAGTGATTAACGGAGGTGGGTTTTGGGTGGTAACCTGGTGGTTGTTTGCTTGCTGGTTCGCTGGCAGTGGGGAGAAAGAGAGGAGAATGGATGGCTGTTGGGAAATGGGAGTGAGGGAAAGATTGAGGAGTCATTAGTGGTGGTGGACTGGTGGAGTCCGGTGAGCTCACCGGAAAAATACTAAACAATGAGAAACCCCTTTTGCCAATAAACAATCTGAAAATTCTTATTCCTAAAAGTATGCCCCCGCCCCCTATTTTTAACCTAACCTAAATCTATATATGAAATAATTGTTAAATGGGCTCAATTTTTGGGTTTCTGATTGTGGCCCAAAATTATCGATCAAGTAAAATATTTGTATTTGAATGAATTTTTATATTATGCAAAATATCAATATTAACAAATGTAATAAATAAAATGAATTAAAATAAATATAATGAACGTACTAGTGACATGTAAAAAATGTAATTTTAAAATTAACTGATAAAAAACTCTACATTTTGATAAATAAAGATAGTTATCGATAAACTTATTTAAAATTATAAAAAAATAATATTTTGAACCATTAGATAAATAAAACTTAAAAGTTACGAATTTTAAAAATGTTAGGCCAAAATTGGGTGTCAACAGTAGTATACAGGATTGTGTTCCTAGAAGCAATCACTGATGACATTATTTATTAAGTGTAGATTGTGTATTGGCTACTATGCAATATATTTATTATTTAGTGCGACACAAAATCTCCAGTCTTTCGTCTTAATTTATGTAATTTGTTTTGATTTGACTCGAAATTTAAGAAAAAAGGACAGATTTTTAATATTTGTGTGACTATAAATAATTTAATAAGAGTAAAATGAATATTTTAAATATAAATTATTACTAAATATAGAAATGTGTCAACCGACAAATTGATGCACATATCTTTGAAAAGTCATTATTGATGTTATTGTAATTAAAAATAGTAGACTATTAAATTTACAATTACTTTTGATTTCTTAATTGTCTATTTCACTTCAATTTGAATCAACCATGTTTTAATAGTTCAAGTCTTAATTGTCTATTTCACTTCAATTTGTAACCTTTATTGGACCTATCAAAATTCCAAGTCTCAAAAACTAGAAATAATATATTAAAAGATAAAAATTATGAAAAACTATAAGAAATATTTAAAAATTATATCAAAGTAAATACTTTTATATATAAAGTAAATTTAAAAATTATATATAAATATCGGGTTGATTTGATCTCGGGTGTACTACCCAAGTATAATAGAGTTTTTTTTCTCAATATCAGACCAAGTCATGTCAAGTTTTGTTTTGTTTTCTTTCCTACAAAATGTGAAAAAGTTTCATTATTATGTTTATAGTCCTGTCACAAGGCAATTTTTGGCTCTTCCTAAAACTCAAATTTGCATGGAGGATGACAATACAGCTGTTGGATTTATTTGTGAGGTATGCAATACCTCCATATTTTGATTCACAGTTCACTATAGCCCTGGAAAGTTTTTCTGAAACTAATGTGGGTAAGGATGACTATGGGGCAGGACGGATGCGGTGTGAGGCGGACTTAAGGCTATGCAGAATGGTGCGGATTTAAGGTTGTGCAGGGCGGAGAGGAGAGGAGAGGGATGTGGGGCTTGAAGTGGTTTTTAAAAAAAATTAATGTGGGGCGGGCGGGTTTATATACAATTTTATGCGGGTTCAAATTTAGTTTTAAGTTTTTACATATTATAAGAGTGATAGAGGTAAGATAATCTCTTTGTTACTAAAATATTCAAGATAGTAAATGAAAATTGTTCAATCAAAACTAATATAATTTCTTACATGCTTCCCAATTGACTTCTAAAAAATAAAATTATAAGTCTATCAATTAAATTAATATAAGTTAATGAAAAAATATATATATTTTTATGAATTTTAATTTTAATATCAAACTTAACTAAAAAAGAAAAATATTAAACATTTATGCAGGGTGGGTTCATATGGGACGGATCTATGCGGGCGGGGCGAGTTGAAATGAAAAAAAATATTATGCAGGACGGATTAAAATTTTTGCAGGGTAAACTTAACCCGCTTCGCCCCCGCCCCGTCTCGCACCGCCTCATAGATGGAGTATTCTGTTGGCTTGATGATTCACCACAGATCATCCACTAGTGTTTCTGGGCTTTAATTGCCTGAAGATATGGAGACGGAAAACTATTGTCTACTGTTGGCTCCTACTTTATTTGAACAATATTTATTTTATATACTTTAAACTTAGATACAGATGATTTAATTCCTTCTTTCTATTTTGGCTAAATGCTTGATTTGATCTTTGATTCTAGTCTATTTTACAAGTAGAAAGTAGAATAGTGCCTACGAAAAATTGAAAAAATCGTCTAAATCATGTTGAATGGTCCTTACATGCTAAAAAAATAGTAGGGATCATGGCAAGATTATATGTACTCATTACGTAGGGTCTCATAAGGATTTTGAAAAAAAAAATGTGTTGAAAGATATATCACCAAATTATTCATGGGCTGAGGCACACGAAAAATTGAGAAAATTGTCTAATTCCGGTAAGTTGGCTCTAAATGCTCAAAATGGATTCTAAAAATTATGAGACTGTATGTAGTCCTCCCCCAACTTCCTACAGAGGGTTCCGTAAAGGTTTCGCAAAGAAATCGTCCGAAAGCCATATCACCAAAATATTCATGGGCTAACACACATGAAAACTTGAGAAAATTGACTAATTCGTGTAATTAATTAGCCCCTAAATGCTCAAAACGGACTCTAAAGTTATAAGACTGACGTTATGTACTCCCCCAACTCCCTATCGAGGGTTCTATAAGAGTTTCACAAAGAAATCATCCGAAAGTCATATCACCAAAATATTTATGGGCTAACACACACAAAAAATTGAGAAAATTGCTTAATTCTTGTATATTGTCCCTAAATGTCCAAAATGGACTCTAAAAATTGTGAGACTATACTTACTACTTCCTCAACTCCCTACAGAGGGTTACGTAAGAATTTCACAAAGAAATCGTCCGAAAGCGATGAGGCTTTTGACAGTTCATCCAAATTAATTTTGAGAGTTCGTCCTAACCTTTCATGCTTCTATATAGTAGGAAGAATAATAGAATAGAAATTATAGTATATATTATTACTACCATAAAAGGCTATTCCACCAAAAAAGAAAAACCCAAATTGTGCCCATTAGGGTTTTTTCGATCCCAAGCAAATTTGGATTGGGTTGGTCAGTATAAAAATCTCATATTTGTAACGATTCTGTATAGAAAGCGGTTTTTCCGATCCCCAAACAAGTTTCAATTGGATTGGGTTGGTCAATATAAAAATTCATCTTGTTGGAAATAATAATTTAAAGTTCCAGTAGGAATCATAATTTGATTAGGATTTGTTATTTATGGTGTTTACTTATTTATGTTTAATTAGGATTTGTTAGTTAGGAATTTTAGGAATTTGTTATTTATGGTGTTTGTTTATTTATGTTTAATTAGGATTTGTTAGTTAGAGTGATTCCTATTCCAATTCCAATTCCAAGTTTAATTTGGTTTTTACTACTATAAATATAGGGATGTTACAGAATAAAATATTTAAGAAATACAAGAGTTTATAAATAAAATATTTTCCTTTCACATCTCTGTAACGATTCTGCATTGAAAGCATTATCGTCTGTGAATTTGCGAGTATGAATCGTGTGTCTCATATGAGAAAGTATGCAAAGGAGGAGATTTGTGAAGATATTATGATAAAAATATTGGATTTTTTGCCTTCAAAATGTCTGGCAAAGTTTAAATGTGTATCCAAGTGTTGGGAAAAGTACATTGCTGATTGCCGTTGCAGACGATGGAACCAAAAACCATATCTAGTTGGTTTCTTTTGTCAACATTCAGAGATTCAGCGTGAGTTACGCTTTTTCTTGTCGTCTCAATCAGTGATTGATGGCACTTTCGATGAGTCATTATACAATCTTTTGCATCGCAATGCATGTCTTGTTGCAGCATCCAATGGGTTTCTTCTTTGCAATGTGAAAAAGGTTCATTACTATGTTTATAATCCTGCCACAAGGCAATTATTGATTCTCCCAAAAACTCAAATCTGCATGGAGAACGATGACTATAATCCACCACCTATTGGATTTATTTGTAAAGTAGATAACCGTGATAATAAAGATATTATCTCCTTCACTATAGTTCGGTATGCAATACCTGCAAAACCTCTGCAGTTTGCTTTACAGTTGGCTGTAACCATCGAAAGTTTCTCTTCTGAAACTAATGTGTGGACTGCAAATAAGATTATTCTTGATGTACCTATAAGACTGTTTCCTTGTACCCTTACGAAGTCACCATCGGCTAGTGTCATCGATGGAGTATTCTGTTGGTATGATGATTCATTACAGATAACTGTTTATGATAGTATCCACAAGTCTTTCTGGGATTTGAAATTGCCTGAAGATATGGAGAGAGGAATAGGTTGTGGTTATCTTGGATCATCAGCTGGTGGATTGTATTTTGCATTGAATATTATATTCAAGGGAACCGTCATTGTGTGGTACCTTGCTAGCAATATTCGTAATCGAGATGCAGTATGGGTTAAGAAGTATGTTGGAAATGTAAAAAGCACTGTTCTACAATGTCCGGAGGATTTTGGAGTTGAGGGCTATCCTCACATTGAGTTGAGTAACATGGTGATCCATCCTACTGTCCCACACATATTTTATTTGGGTTTTCAGCGTAATATTATTTCTTATGACTTTGAGAAGGATGTTGCACAACTTGTCAATATTTTTTCAGGAGGTCCAACGATGAAGCGCTACAAATTGTTTCCTTTTGAATGGTATCAATGGCCACGTCGTCTTCTGTAAACTATTCTTACTTATTTGAATAATACTTATTCTATATACTTTGAACTTAGATACAATTAATGGTATTCCTTGTTTCTATTCTAGCTAATTATTTTGAAGTGCATATTTCATTATCTGGTTTTCAATTTTCTCAAAGTTTGGGCTAATATACTCTTAACATATAAGAATATATATGTATATTGTATCTCCTTCACTATTAACCTGATCGATCCCTCAGAGAGTTAGAATTAGTGAAACTCTTGACCTTGTACCTCAGATAATTTAGTTGCAATGCAGAAATTAATACATATTCCTAGACAAGAGGATAAGATTGTGAATTTGAGTCACCAAAGCAACAAAAAGGTGGGATCGGGGTAAAAAAAAAATACATATTCCCAACCTGCATAATCACTTTTTGCTTTGGTGCAAATGACACCCAGGTCATCTGAGTTGATGACTCCAGAATTTAATTGTTGGATAAAGCTAAGAGAATCATGTAAAATCATGTAGAAACCAGAATTTGTGGCATTAAACTTTTGAGTCATATAATGAAACTTTACAACAACATAACACCAGTGTAGTCATATGATGGAACAATAAATTGTAAACTAATTACCAAAGTTCACTAATTCGGATTTGTGTCTGTGGATCCACAACGAAGACTATACTATACTTTTCCTAAGGAGATTGATGGAAGTTTATTGCTAGAGGAAGGACCAAGGAAGGTCGTTTGGTGGGTGTTGGAGAAAAGTGAATTCATATCAAATAAATAAATGTCATATAGGAGATGTACGAAGAAGCTATCACTAGTAGATGATGCAATAGAGTTCCCTATAATTAATTGTGGGTTTACACTAGGGATCGACGACATTGAGGCCGTACTTGTGGATGAGCTAACCAACACAATGGTAGATGAAGTTCCTGGTTGTCGATATTGTGCTAATTGATGAAACAAGTGAGGGCGTCAATCAAAAGGTTGAACTATGGAGAGTTTATGGTTTTAGGATAAGTAGAAGTAAGAGTGAATATATGCATAGTCAACATAAGAATGACAATTAGATGAGATTGCAGAGTTAAAATGCAAACAATTCAGCTATAGTTCATCACATTCACAAGATGAATGCCATAGAGATGAGAATGCCAAGATGGATGTGTGATCATACAACTTACAAGATTAGAAATCATTGCATTTGCAAGAAGGTTCAAGTAACAGATTGGGAATAAATTGAGGGATGGTCTCTTTAGATGGTTTGATTTATGTCATGCATCAAGCTCTAAATGAACCTGTTCCTTTGTACGTAAGAGAAGCTGTTGAAAGATACGAGGTAGGCTTAAAATTGCATTGTATTTTGCGTTGAATATTATATTTGAGGCAAACATCATTGTGTGGTACTTGCGAGAAATATTCATAGTCGAGATACAGTATGGGTTAAGAACTATGGTTGAAATGTAGCCAACACTGTTCTACAATGCCCGGAGGATTTTGGACTTGAGGGCTATAATTGGTTTGAGATGACGAGTATGGCGATTCATCCTACTGTTCCACACATGTTTTATTTGGGTTTTCTTCATAAGATTATTTGTTATAACTTTGAGATGGATGTTGCACAACTTGTCTATAGGCCAACACAATGCTTCAAATTTTTTCCTTATGAATTGTCACGCCCCGAGCCTACACCCTGGGCGGGACTGCCACTCGAGAACCATTGCTAGCCTCAAGCTAACCCTTGACTTGACTTACTTACTCAGCGGAAGACTTAACTCATCAAACATACATCTATGAAATAAACTGGAATGTTATAAAAGAACAATCAACTGGCCTGTTAAGGCAAACTTAAGTCTCAACATAAGATAATGACAATGAAAAGACTAAAGAACTAACATCTGACTGTCTATCTATGAAGCCTCTAAACAACTGAGATGGATGTCGGGACAAGCCCACGACATCCTAATGAACCAACTAATAAAATTGAAAGCAATAAAAGGGATCCTCCGGCAGCAAGGAGGCTCACCACAAGACTCTGAGTGCTCAACTGGATCAACGATGCGTTGGATACTGATCCTGGTTACCTGCATCTGCATCATAAAAAGATGCAGGCCAACTGACATCAGTACATTGAATGTACGAGTATACGAGTTTGAATGCTAAACATAACTTAAGCTTGAAGGGAACTGAAGAACTTACATGGCTTAACTCACTTAACATAACTGAATTCATTTCAATATAACGTAGTTTAAAGTAAGTGCAATATAAAGAAAAACTGTTTAAAAACATAATGTCAACTCTATATGTATGCAAAGAAACATATAACTTTGAAATGTATGTAAAAATACAAATAAACTGTGTATATAAGAATACAATTACTTCTGTGGGAGTTTCTCTAACCGACAACCATCACTTAAGAGCTATTGTGATGATACAACGTTTTGCCTCACGATGTCAGGGCAGTCCTATACCTTGCCGAGTGTATAGAACCTGAACTACTAAGTGGATCCAATAGTTTATGCTAAAAAACACTAAAGGAATCATCTAAAAAGTATGACCCTTTTTAACCCATGATGACTACATGATTTATGGGGGAGTTTAATTTGTCTGAACTCTCCCCCATATCGGTGCTCAATACTACTCCCAAAATATGATACTAGCTCTTATGTTTAAAAACATACTTCTTTCTGTGATTTGAGATAATTGTTCAAAAACTTAGCTCAAAGGCTATCTTGGAAATCAAAGTTTCCTCCCTTGCTTCATTTAGAAAGTGATTACTCTTTTCTGAAAACTAGCTCAAAGGCTCTTTGAAAATCTCAGTTTCCGTTCCTATTTAAATGTGAAAACATTTTAAACTCTTTGGGAATACATAGTCCCCATATACTTTCTTTGAAGAAATGAACTTCAAACTTTACTCTTTACTCTTTACTCTTTACTCAACTTGAACTTTAAGTCTTAAAACAAAGTTAAAAGCATTTGCAAAAGACTTCTTGAAAAGACTTTAAGAACTTCCTAGACTTGGCTCTTGACTTTCCTTTAATTTGAATTTATGGATTCAAGGTTATGATTCATGTTTCTGGATGATTTCTAGATGTTTAGAAGTCATTTAGAGTAGTTAGAATCAATGGAAAATGTTAGTACACTTTAGAAGGACTTAAATAGGATAAACGACGAAAAACTGGTGAAAAACGACGATCCGGGCACGTCCTTGGCGCGCTGCGCCAGCCCCTTCTTTCTGGGGCTCCTTTTGGGTGCACTGCAGGCGCGCCGCCCCAACCTCTCTGGCGCTATCAGGGCACGACGCGCCTAGCCCTCCCCAGGTGCGTCTGACGAATTTTACAACTCGTTTTCTGATCCTAAATCATTTTAATCCAATTCTTTTTTCTAAAATTCACTTTAGATTCATGTACCCAAATCATATACACAACTCAAGGAAACAACACTTTAACATCAAGAAACTCCTTAATCCCAACTCATATTCAAGAACGAAATCAATTCAAGAACAACTACCAAGAACATCTAATTCTCAATCTTTTTATGACGAAAATACTCTAAATTAAACATGCTTGGCGCGTGGGTGAACTAACCCAATGCTATGTGATCTCACATACCTCGTAGGGATCACCCCTTGACGAATTCCACAAGCGATTCCTTACGAAGACGTCGAAACTTGAACTTTCTTCTCCTTTCTCCTCTTTTCTCTTTTCTCCAAGCCCCAGCGTAGATTTCCAATGTTTTCTAAACTGAACAAATTCAGTTTTGACCCTTAATTAATTCATTAAAACGAATTAAATAAATTGGGTAAGGAAAAGACCAAACTACCCTTTAAAAATCCGAATTGGACATTTCCTTACTTGAACTGCCCATTTTCCAATGGGAATAACTCACTCATACGAACTCAGAATCACGCAAACTCGGTGGAGTTAGAAAGATTGTTCCAAGATCTTTCCTACGATATCTGGAGACACACCTAACTCATCATGAGGTAGAAGTTATGGTCGTTTGAAGTTGATCAAAAACTCAACTTAACACACTTAACAAATTTTCCAGATTTTTAAATTCTTTCCAAAAATGATTATTTCCTCTTTTAAAATTCCTTTTTAGTTCTTTCTAGTTACGGGGTGTTACATGAATGGCATCAATATTGGCCACGTCGTCTTCTCTAGACTCTTTACTTATTTGAACAATATTTTTTCTATATACTTTGAACTTAGATACAAATAATGTATTTCCTTCTGTTTATTTTAGCTAAATGCTTGATTTGATCCTTGATTCTAGTCCATTTTATTTATTACAAGTATAGTGTAGAATAGTAGACCATACGAAAAATTGAAAAAATCATGTTGAATTACCCTTACATGCTAAAGAAATAGTGGAGATCATGTTGAGGTTACATGTACTGCTCCCCTATTATCATTACATAGGGTCTTGTAAGGGTTTTGATAAAAATGTGTCCGAAAGACATATCGCCAAAATATTATTAGGCTAACACACAAAAAACTGAGAAAATCGTCTAATTCCTGTAAACCCATTCAAACTTTTATGGGTTGAAATTCAAAAGTGTCCTCGAATGATGATTTCTAGTATTGTCCATGTTTGTCTTGTCCTGATGAGACTAGGCGAGAACCTAGTATGAAGAAGGAAATATGCGCGCTTGGAAGAAACAAAATACCCTACTAAGTAGAATATAAAAAAAATATGTATTTGTTATTACTATCAATTCAAATCTTCTTAATAGTTTGTTGCAAATCTCTTACTAATTATTATGCACATATTTTTGAAATTTTATTATTGATATAATTATAATTAAAAATCGTTAACAATTAAATTTATAGTTACTTTTGATTTCTTAATTTATCCAATTCACTTCAATTTGAATCAACTATGTTTTAATATTGGCTTTATAAGATTGTCTTCAATTCTTTGAGATGTTTTATTAAACATTTCATGCTCAAACTAATTAGATTCTCAAATAATTTATTTTTTAAAAAAAATATTGTCTTAACCTTGAATGTCTTATAATCAAAAGAAAATT